ATGATGGGATATGTAGTCCGGGATGATATGCAACCGTTTGTGTAGTGCGAGAGTCAATGTAATGGAAAGGGTGACCTCTGATGGTAAGCAGACGGAAGTTCATGGACCGGATTCATGACAGTTTTCACTTGTATACAGCATGTGATTAGTCTATATTTATATCCTGATTTAGACAAGATGACAAGATTTTTCACTATAGAGAAAGCAATATTATGGATAGAGGACTTACATTTTTGTCTGAAGCAATGGTTTGAAGTTAACATCTTAATGATCGATTTGTTTATTACAAACATGCAGCTTTTCACTTCACAAGATGTTAATTGATGGACTGGAGTCATGTGGATTATTGTGATGTTTTTAGCAGCTGTTTGGACACATTCACTGATCCATTGGTGAGCAAGTGATGTAATGCTAAATTTCTCCAAATCTTGGATGACCTGAGGGTGAACTATTCTTTTAAAAATTCGAGGAGAAGATCAATGACTTACAGTTTGGTCTGTTCATCACATACAGTAAAGTTATTGAACGGGTTTGGAAGACTTGGAAAACAGCACACATGTTACATTGATCAATTTTATAATACTTTTATGGTACTTTAGTTTCATTTTTTAAGTTTAAAATATTCAGTCTCAAATCACTGTAATTGAATTTTAAAAAAACAGCAATCAGTATTAAAACGTTTGTGTTCTACTACACGACATGAGGATGAGTAAATAATGACAGAATTTTTGGATGAGTTCTTACTTTGAACAAGCCACTAAAAATAGCTCCATAAATGTCATAAAAGCACATTTTTTAAGGAATGGTACATAATGCAAAAGGTATAAAGCTGAAGTCTGCAGACTTCATGTGCACAATACAAGTTAATATGGGACAGAAGCATCACCATCAAAAGCATTACAAAAAAGCTCTGGTGAAGCTGTCTCAAGGGTTTGTTATAGTTTTAATGACAGTGTTGTCTTGCCAACTAAGTGTTATACATGCTTCGGGTTAGTGGCTGTCTTTATAGCTGCCTTAAAGTGAAATTACAGGGAGCGATTTAGGCGATGTAAAGAACAGTAGCTCTGTGCACTTGCACTAGTGAGAAACAGCTATTTAATACAGCCTTCATACACAATTGTGCTCAAGTCTTTCACATAATCCACAGTTAAATGTGAAAATAACAGAGATTAAAACTCTTAAACCTCAGCTATTCAGACAGCAACTCTTTAAAATACATAAAGGGACAGTTCACTAAAAAATTCGCTTTTGGCGCTCGATGGCCATTGGTTACCATTCATTTTCATTTATGGGAAAGAGCAGCACAGACATTCTGCTAAACATCTACCAAAGAAAGTAAGTCATACATGTTTGGAACAACATGAGTAAATAATGACAGAATGTTCATTTTTGGGTGATTCAGAAATCACAGTTTATGTATTTTAACAGACATTCACTCACCTTCTCCTTCTCCATACTTGGCACTGTGAGCCCATGTTATACCACTTTGGAAACCCAGTTCCCTGCAAACCACATTAGCGAGTTTAATGTCGACCTCGTCATCGCATACGGTGCCCCACGTCCCGTTGTGCAGGACTTCAACTCGTCCCTCATTTTCTCTGTGGCTGATACCTGCCAGTCGCACTTTGGCAGCAGGAGCACGCCTTGATCGGCCTGGTGAGTCGGGACGTGCGTTCATGCACACAAAGAGGAGCGCAAAGAGAAGAACACAAATGGGACAGATGACCCGAATCATGATTGCACACAGGTGAGGCTTCTGGAATACAAAACAACAGTGGCCCTTGTTACTAAATGAACTACAAAATGAAATTAACAGTAATTGTTAAGTTGCACTGTGTGGGTTACAAAGATAAATTGAGTGGTATTTGGCTGGTCATGTGATCGCAAAATGGCAGCCTCCATGGGATAACCCACTACTTGTGAAATAAAACTTTTTAAAAAGCTTTTATTAAGCTGATGATGTGACTGGAGTCTTTATCTGAACATATTTAGCAAAAATACTTTTTGAAGAAAAGGTTAAAAAAAAAATTTTTTTAATGAGCAGAACATTAAATAGCTCCATTAAAAAGATAAAGTTGGAAAGAAGTCTAACAGGGTCCAGGCGATTTTCTCAGTATTTAGATTTTTTTTGCCCCGTCAGATTCCAGATATTCAAATAGTTGTATCTCTGCCAAATATTGTCCTATCATAACAAACCATACATCAATCGAAAGCTTATTCAGCTATTTATTTATTCAGCTTATAAATCTCAATTTCAAAACACTGACCCTTATGACTGGTTTTGTGGTCCAGGGTCACATATTATACAATATTTATATTATAATATTTATAATACAACAACATTTATAATAACAATTAAGTCTATTTGAAGATCATTGGGACTTTTTTGTATTATGACTTTACCTACACTAAAAATGAAATGAAATGATATTAAATTCTGGTTTTATTTATATGACTCAGACATGGTCTTAACAGGTTTCTGTGAGGTTCGCCCAACAGATTTGTGCATATTGCATTACAGCATGTGATGGATGGAAGAAAAGTTTAGTAGAGGTATGATAACAGGAAACATATAATAATAGGACAAAAAAAAAATTAGGAAAAACTAGGGTATACTGTTTGTGTGCATGAATAGCAACATGATTATATAAGTATCCAAACACCAAACAGGAATAATAAGTTATTATTTCACCATCTCTAATTAGAGATACAAATAGATATAATTGTATATAACATATTTCACCTCATCCCAGTATTTATTCATAAACCAATAGATAAAACCTATGACATAAAGCATGCAATAGAAGAGAAGGAGAGAGATAGAAAGCACATTTAAGAACATCATTAGGAACCCAAGCAGATGCACCAAAGAGTTAAAAGTCAAATTTCACTCACCTGGCAGCCACGCGTAAGTCACGTCAGTCACGGTCTGGAGGAAAATGAATGAAGGAGAGAGTTGGACATACACTCTGTCCCTCTCCTCCCTCTCCCTCTCTCTCCCTCCATCACTTCAACATCCCTCCCACAGATGTCTCCATCTTTATCTCATCGTGGTTCACATCAATGGCTAGAAGAACTGTGAGGTTTTTTTAGCTGTTTGTTTTCTAGTATATTTTCACTAAATGTTGAGACTTAAAAGTTATTCAGTATAGAACTTGCAATTTTTATAAATGTTTATATACATTGTTTTATATTTTAATCTCATTTAAAAGAAAAAAAGTCTCTGATGGACTTAGAGGTTTTTGCATCTGAATAGTGTGTGTGTGTGTGTGTGTGTGTGTGTAACACATATAGCATATTTTCACAAAATGTTGAGTTATTCCATATAATTCATTATTTTCTTTCTCTTTGTTTTTTTATCAATATGGTGCACAATATTCACATTCAAGTCCATGTGATAAACAAATTACTTCAAGTAATCTAAAATAATATAAAAGTAATTAAAAGTTACCTAATATGTGTAATCCAGATTATGTTACTAATTACAATTTTCATCTTGTAATTTGTAATCAGTTATGGACTAGCATGTGTGTGTGTGTGTGTGTGTGTGTGTGTTTATATTTATATATACTGTATATTTAACAGAGGTTTGTCAGTAACGTATTGTAAAAATGAAGTTGCTATTATCATTCGATAATGCATCTTAAATTTTGATCTGCTCACACACTTAAAGGGGTCATTGGATGCTACATGCACTTTTACAAGTTGTTTGAACTGAAATGTGTGTTGGCAGTGTGTGTACACAACCACCCTATAATGATAAAAATCCACCCAGTGTTTTTTTTT